TGTTAAAATTTTATTATAAAAATTAATTTTAAAAAAATTACGCAGGCAAATTTGCCTGTGTTACAATCTAAGGGATAAAGTTAATCTTGCCTTTACTGCCAAAATATTAACATTAATAGATAATTTTTTATTACAGTTATAATATTCAGTTCTTTTATAATTTGAATCCTTATATTCATGTTTAATATTCTGGCTTTGAGAGCATTTAAAATAAGCATTTCTGAGACCCTGATGATGAGATGAGAGGTTTAGTATAGTTGTAACTTTATAATGAATATAAATTTTTTATTATATTTTTATTTTTATTTTATTTTATATTTTATATATACTGTATATATATTTTTTATTAATGTTTTAATTTACTTACATTCAACTATAATTATCTTTTTTTCGATTTCATCAACAATTAATTTAGCAATTAGTTTAATATTTACTTCAATAACACTAAATATACTCTTATCAAATTTAATACAAAAATTTAAAAGAAGTGCATCTTCAGGTTCTAAGCCTGCAATTATATTAGTAATATAATTGCTAATTTCTTGAACATAAATTACATCAACAAAAGCCTTTTTACTATTAGTATTATCATATACTGTGTTTTTTTTGCTATCTCTTTTTTTAGCTTTAGTCTCAAGGCATCTGGCACATGTTTTATTGCTTTTATTTTTGTATATAAATGCTTCGAAGGAAGTATGCGCAAACAAGAAGTACAATACATTATGTTTAAATATTTAAGAATTTTATTTAATTATTTATAGATTTGGTTTTGAATATGAGTAAAAAAAATGAGCTTTGGTTATAAAACATGCTTTATATATATAATTCAGACATATATTAATTAAACTTTATTAAATTTAAAATGACATGCAAGACAAAAGCTAAAATTAAAATGTTTTTGATTATAATTAACAAATTAAGAATCTTTAAATAAGTGTTTTTACTTAATTATCTTTTTCTAATTTTGTAAAACTAAACTTTTAAATCTAATATACAAAATTATTGTTTGTTTCCTAGATTAAAAAAGAACTTTTTAGTAAATCACCTGAATTTTGATAGTAATTTTAGATAAGCATATATATACATATATCATTTTAATCTACTTTTTTTGGTTATTATTTAGAGTTCTCAGTTGATACAATGTGATATGCATAATACAATTTTTGTATAGCTGATGCAATACATAGTAAAAATTATCATTGCAACTGAATTATATCTTTATTAAAGAACTTAACTATATTCTCAATCTAATTTGATTAAATCAGATTTGTTGCATTTTTAATTTTATTATTTAAAGTCTAGCATATATATGTATATATTGTTTCAAGTGGCTGATGAATTCTCTAGTAAAAGGTATACAGAATTTATCTTTTACAATGCCATTTTTTGTTAATTTATTTTTTGATATGTGTTTAAATTATTTTTGAAAAAGTATTTTTTAATCATTTTTATTTTATAGTACTGTATAGCATATATATTACTACAATGATTAAAACTTAAATCAAATAGTGAAAGAATTTAGAAAGAATTTTTATTACTAGAAGCATTTAAGTCCTTCTGCATAAACATTACATATCAGCATATTGGATATTGAATTTTCACATATAGAACTTATTGGTAATTTACAAAAACTTCAATTTTTTACATTATGGCACATTATTGATATACTAAAAAAATTAAAAATATTAGTTATACAGTTTGTATTAAAGAAATTCATCTGATCACATCATTGTAATTTGTAGTTTCAAGCTGAAATTCTTTAATGCAATCATTGATATTCTTATTTTCACTTGTTTATAAAACTAATTTTTTGGTTCTTATAATCTGGTTGGACCAATTCTGCTTTTGACTATATTTACTATATGGGTAAATTTTTTAAGTATATATAAAAATTTTATTTATTTTATTTATTTATAACTTTTTAAGATTGCAGTATTATTTTTTAAAATTTTATGTTATAAGAATCAAGTGAATGTTCATATAATTAAAAATGAATAAAAGTAGATGTTATTCATATAATGCATTATGTAATGATTCTATATTTTATATTTTAGTATTCAAGAATGCAATAAAAATATGATTAAATATTTGATAAATAGTAACAATTTTTTTTGTATACCTTTATTAAAAATTTAAGTATATACACAAATAAATTTAATCAATTTGTTTATTTTAATTCTAGAGATCTCTAAAATTAAAAAAAAAAGAGTTATTGAATTTGCTTAGGTAATTGCTAAGATATCTTCACTCAAAGTCAGCAAAAACTCAAAATATCTATAATAAAGAAAAACTTTGAGCGAAGATATTTTAACAATTATCTAAGCAAATTTGATAAATTTTTTTTTTTTTAATTTCAAAGGTCTCTAATATTAAATAAAAATAAGTTCATTGAATTTGCTTAGGTAGTTGCTAAGATATCTTTACTCAAAATTAGTAGGAATTCAAAATATCTATAATAAAGAAGCAGTAAAAAAAACTTGGAGTAAAGATATCTTATTAATTACTTAAGCAAATTCAATAAACTTTTTTTCTTTTGATTCTAAAGGTCTCTAATATTAAAAAAAATAAGGTTAATTAAATTTGCTTGGGTAATTGCTGAGATATCTTTGCTCAAAGTTAGTAAAAACTCAAAATGTCTATAATAAAAAAGTAGTAAAAAAACTTTAAGCAAAGATATCTTAACAATTACCTAAGCAAATTGATAAATTTTTTTTTTTTAATTCTAAAAACCTCTATAATAAAAAAAAGTTTATCAAATTTGTTTGGATAATTACTGAGATATCTTTACTCAAAGTTTTTAAAAAATTTTTATCACATTTCTATTATAGATGTTTTGAGTTTTTACTAACTTTAAGCAAAGATATCTTAGCAATTACTCAAGTAGATTCAATAAACCTTTTTTTTTAATATTAGAAACCTTTATAATAAAAGAAAATAAAGTTTATCAAATTTGTTTAGATAATTACTGAGATATCTTCACTTAAAGTTTTTTAAAAATTTTTATTATATCTCTATAGGTATTTTGAGTTTTTACTAACTTTAAGCAAAAATATCTTAGCAATTGCTTAAGCAAATTTGATGAGCCTTATTTTTTTTAATATTAGAGACCTTTAGAATTAAAAAAAAAAGATTATCAAATTTGCTTAGATAATTATTAAGATATCTTCACTCAAAGTTTTTTTACTACTTTTTTATTATAGGCATTTTGAGTTTCTACTGACTTTGAATGAAGATATCTTAGCAATTACCCAAGCAAATTCAATGAAGCTTATATTTTTAATATTAAAAACTTCTATAATTAAAAGAAAAAAAGTTTACTGAATTTTCTTAGGTAATTGTCAAGATATCTTTGCTTAAAGTTTTTTTTATTGCTTCTTTATTATAGATGTTTTGAGTTTATACTAACTTTGAGCAAAGATATCTCGACAACTACCTATTGTAACGATACAGGTTGGAACTATCCTAGAATTCCCTATTCATAGGGTAGCCATTAGATAGTTCGTGTAACGTTGGACGTTACTACACTCGAAAGAGGCATTGGATTTGGCGAGTGTATCTGGTAAGTATTTCTTTATTACGTCCTGTTCTATTCTACCCTATATCTACTAATTACGCTATACATATTAATTAATATATATACTATTGTTTAATTATGCAATCGATCTTTAATAAATTATTGACGATCCTATTTTAGATCGTAACAATATTTATATATGTTTTTAAATTGTTAAATTATTAAATATTTGACCTATTTGTAAATATAATCAATTAAATAAAAAAATATTATCATTTCTTTTAACAGATAATAATATGTCTATAATTTTTAAAAACAATCTTTTATCTATTTATTTAATTTCATTATAATATAAATCATTTCTATTTTTATTTATACTATTTTTTATTATAGATTTCCAAGAATGAAGATAAAAATTTTCTTTATAAAATTTAATATGATTTAAAATTAATTTATAAATATTATCAGTTGTTTCTATATTTGTTTCAATAATTTTATTATATTGTTTAATTATTAAATCTATACTTTTTTTTAAAGGATATCCAAAAGGAAAATATATTGGTTTTAATTTGATTAAATTATTTTTTCTTTGTTTAAAATTAATAGAAACATGAATTTTTAAAATATTTGTATTTAGTTTGTTTTTTTTATTATTTTTAAGTTTGATTGTAATAAATTAATTTCATTTAGAAATTCATTTTTATTTTTTAGAAAAAATGAATCAATATTTTTTAATATTTTAAAATATTTTTCTATGTTTTCATCATTTTTTTCATTGATAATTATTGATTTAATATTTTCTATTAATTCATTTCTTCTTTTTTTGATATTATTTTTCAATTCTTTAATATGCCAAGGTCCTAATCTTTCATCTTTTTATATAAGGTTATATAATTTACTATTAGGTTGTATATCAAAAAGATTTGTTTTTTTATTTATTTTTTTATTGTAATATAATAATATTTCTTTAACATCAAATAAAAAATCTATTTATATAATCTATTTAGTTTTATAGTTATATTTATATGAAATTTAAATTAATCAAATATTCTTTCTTTAGGTAGTGGTAGTGGTAAATTTTGATTTTGATCTTGGTTTGTAGTAGTAGTATCTTCAGGTTCTGAGAGTTTTTCTTTATAGTTTGATAAAAATTATTATTAGTGAATGATTTTATTTATAATTATTATAACTTGATTATATTTATCTAAATTAGAAGGGTTATTTATCATTTCTTTAACAGTATCTATTAATTGTTGCATTGCTAATTCTGTAGTAAATTTAAGATTCATCATATTATCTATATTTGTATTATATCCTATCATAGACATTACTTTATTAATAATAAGAAAAGGACCAAAATGTGTAGAAAATTTTAGTGTTTTACCAAAATATATTATATCATTATTATATTTTAAACTTATTTTTAAACTATTTTCAATTCTTTCTTTAATTATTTTTGGATCTGCAGTTACTGTTAAAACCCAAATAATATTAGTTTGCTAACTAGTCATATTAGTTTGATTACCTCTATTACAACAATAAAGTATTATACTTTTTTCTTTATTAACTCTTTTTATACCAAAAGGCATTCTTTGTGATTCAGATTTTTGTCCTTTAATGTTTAAACATGAGAATAATAAATGTATATACTAAAATTATGCCAAAAGGGTTTATCACAACATTTAGATTGATTGTTTTTTAATAATTTATTTACATTAATTGGTATATCAATTGCTGTTATTTTTTTCCAGTTTTCTTCTATCAAACATAATTGCATATTTTTATTGATATTATCAAATCTATATGTTACTTTTTTAAAAATATCTTCTAAACCAATATTTTCTTTTAGAAAAATATTCATATCATTTCCATCTTTATCTTTTACTGTTTTATCTTTTGCAATTAAAAGAAATAATATAATTATAAAATTATCAGGTGTTCATATAATTTTATATCATCATATAAAGGTATTCCATTATTACTTTTTGTGTTCAATACAATATTCATATCAATTTGTCAAAAAAATCCATGTAATCTTAACTAGATGCATTAAATACTTCTTTAGAAATTGGTTGACCAAATTATTTACACATAATTAAGGAATTTTTAACAATAACCAACAAAAAACCAAAGCCAACCCAACATTTGACTGGCTTGCCAACTTTCCTGTAACTGAAGAAATGAA